TTTTGCACCTCTGCCATGGTTCCTCCCTCTTCTATGTCTATCTTGTTATCAACTAAATCAGAATATGATTTAGTTGAAAATTACCGGTCTGTCTTTACAAGTCAAGCACCAACAAAAGAGACTAAATCAGAAAAAGGCACCAGATCCAGATGGTGTCAGAAAGTTCTGAAGGCCCATAAAGACATCCTCTATGGGATTTTACATGGTTTCCTGATCCAGCAAACTGTTCCAATGTTGTGGTAGAACTACTTGTTTCTGTACCGAGTAAAATTCAGTCCTTGGTCCTTAATGATTATAGATCTTTTACCCTGACATCAATCGTGAAGGTCCTAGATAGACTCCTGTTGGCCCGCCTCATTAAACAAACAAGCAGCTATCAGGACCCCTGCAGTTTGTCAATGTGAAGTTGGAGTTGATGCCTTCATACACCTGCCTCAGCAAACCCACTGGCACACAGCACTGTGAGGATCAGGTTCTTTGATTTCTCTGGTGCGTTTGGAATGATTCCTCCCGGTTTGCTTTGTGAGATATTCCAGAAGACTCAGGTGGAGGCATCAACAATAACCTTGATGAAAGTCTACCTGACAAACAGACCACAGTTTTTGAGACTAAAGGGTCAGCTGTCTAACAAGATAGTCAGCAGCACATGAGCACCACAGTGAATGGTACTCTTACCATTCCTTTGGACTATTTGCACATCATAACACCTTGTCATCTGAAGAAATACTTAGATGACAATGCGGCCAATGGATGCATCACATATGGACAAGAAGCTGAGAACATGAAGCTGGTGGATCACTTTGTGATGTATGGAAACAATAATCTAAAGTTGAATGTTGACAAAAGAAGGAAGTTGGTTGTAGATTTTAGGAAAAAAAAGTAACAAGTCAAACACTTTTAGGGTAGGTTGGCCTAGTGGTTAGGGCATTGCACTTGGAATCCAGAGATTCTGAGTTCAAGCCCCACTCACACGGATTGAGACTCTGGTTCCCTGATCAAAGACCCTTATGCCCACACTGCCCCCCGGGTGCTGCACAATGGCAGCCCACTGCTCCCCAAGGGGATGGATTAAATACAGAGAATTAGTTCATTTCGTAACTCTGTACGTGTGACAGTGTAATGACAATAAAACAGCTAAAAAAAACGTAAACGTGGGAGAAAAAGTGAAGGAGAAGAATAAATATCTCAGTGTTCACCTGAACAACAGACTGGAATGGAGACACCAATGTAAAGCTATCTACAAGAAGGGACAGAGCAGAATGTATTTTTGAAGAAGCTTTGGTCCTTCAGTGTTTGCAGCAAATGGCTGCATATCTTCTGCTAGTCCGTCGTGGAAAGTTTGATCCTTTTCTGTCATCATCTGCCGAGGTTACAGCATCAGGGCAAATGATTTAAAGAAGCTTGACAAGCTCCTATAGAAGGCCAACTCTGTTCAGGGAACTTTTCTAAAATCACTAGAGATGATTTCACAAATATAATTCTTCATAAAATGAAGACCATTCAGGCCAGCAGTGAGCTACCTCTTCAGAAGACTGTTGAAGAAAAACAGTGTCTTCAGTCAAAGCGTCTCCAGATCCAACAGAATGTAACAGGTCTTTTTTTGCCTACAGCTATTAACATCAACTCATAAGAAAAATCTTACAAGCTACAACTGCACCTATTTCCCTTTAATATAAACAAATTATTTTTTAATGAAATGACTTGAATTCAAAAAAGACAAAAACTGTCCACCATAATAAATGTAATGACAGAATGAATAATCATATTCAAATCCAATGAGTGTATTTCAATTATGCCAGCATCATCTAAAGGATTTTACAGCATGTATTCAGTCACATTTTACAGACAAAAATGTTCTAACCCAGAAAGACCAGCGGATTGCATAAAAAATAACCGGACAGCTTAAATCTGTATGTAGTGAATGAAGGATTGAGTCAAAAAATTTTTTATGAAATGATTGAGTTCATTTAGGGAATTCCTTTTGCAGTACAACTGTAACTTTAAATTCTTATTCAGTTAGCTTTTTACAAATAAGCATCAGTTGGTTTTCCTTAATGTTTAAGAAGTTACATGTCTCCAACTTTGCAACAGCCTAAAATACTCCTAAGGATTTCAAAACTGACAAACAGCTGTTCATTAAATTTTAACTTCGAACACCACATTCCCTAAGGATGGATTTATCAGATTCTTACACAAACATCTAAACGCTATCACATTTCAGACGAAATTTCTCTCAGGTGTAATGTTTGCTCTGTATTTTTTTTAACAATTAGTGAGCACCTATATAGAAACACTTAATAATTTACAGCTTTGCTGGAATTTAAACCTTGTAGCAATACAGCAGTACTTTATCTTGTGTGTTTGTTAAGGTAGGTGTGTTTGGTCAGGCAAATTATAAAAACAGGCAGTTAATGAGGGTTAGCAGCCGTGATACACCATAATATCTTGTAAAATGGCAGCAGGGATACTTTAAGCTGGTCTTATGCTAATATTACCACGAGTGACTGTCAGCTAAAGAAAAATCCATGCATCTTCAAACATGCTTAAACCCACTAATAACAACATCCACAAAAACCGACAGAAAACTGCAGCACACATTTATGGTGCATGACATATATATATATATATATATATATATATATATATATATATATATATATATATATATATATATATATATATATATATATATATTGTTTGTTTTTATGTTTCCCATGGATTGCAAACTGTGACATAATCATTTCTCTTGTAGCGTTTTTTCAAATAAGACAACAAGCATTTTATTTCCAGCCATAGAACACAAATAAGTAGCATTTGACTGTTTGTATTGTATATAATATATAGATATTAGTAATGCAAATGCAGCATATCTTATAGCTGTGAAAAGTCAAAACAAATTTATTCTCATCTCTACAAGAAACCTTTTTTTCATAACATGATAGACAAAATGTTCTTGTATGTTTGTATCTATAGCTCTATAAAAAGTATATTCATCCACATGTTAAATCTTTTTATAGCTTTGCACTGATAGAATGCATTTGTCTTATAGGTAAAGTTACACCTTAGGTCAACATCTTTGGCTTTAGCGGGAGGATAAACATTTACAGTAATATTTAATAAGGTGCAGATACACCAAACATGCCATTCTTAAGGCCTGCATTACCCTTCACATTCACTGGCTTCATGTGTGCATTGCATACTGAGATTGAAGCTGATAGTTGTGCTCTTGCTAATGAGCTGCACAAACAAACAAAAGAGGAGCTTCTTTAGAGATGGTTTATCCTTCACAGCTGAACTGTTGGTATGTCATCTTCATTTGAAAGGCCAGGTCTGTTCATCTCCCTCTCTATAATTGCTAACAGTGACATTTATCCAAATTCACACTGCTTTACAAGACCTTTACCTTTATTAAATTGTGTTAGATATTCAACTCTCAGTTGTCATTGATGGTAGGAGTGTTAAAGTCCTGTTGGTCTGTCCATCCGTCCGTCCATCTTTATCCGATGTATTCAACTGTGTCATAATTTTTCTATGGATAAATTATCCCTCCATCATTTTTCACCAGCCCTTTCTTTTCCTTTTTTTTTTTACACTACCTTTTTGTTTAATTGATTGTTGCACACACTGGGAGCTGTTCTAAAATATATAATTAGGTCATTTGCATTAGACTGCAGATTGGGTGACCTTTGCTTTTGCCAATAATTACAGTAAAAACCTCCTCTGTCTGTCATCGCTGAGGATGTGGCAGGGACCTCTCTATGCTCACAAAAGGTTAGCTGAAGGCTTCTGTCTGGCCTTATGAAAAAGCCTGAGGAAAAAGTCATTAAACAATGCGAAAAAGATACCTGGAATTTACAACAGGATATTAAATCAGAATGACTTTTAGGATGATCCACATATTTTTATTCTTCTTTAAGTATTTATTTTCCCAAGTAAATCTAAAGAAACAGTTATTAGATGCATTTTGCTAGACCAGCCTAAGATTAAATCTATTTTAAATTCCGGTTTCCAATTAATAGTGGATCAATTAATACTCATAGGTCATTTCTAATTCTAATTTTATATCCTCAGCACTGTCAAGGTGATTGAATGTTGAAAGGTTCCCAATAGGTTTTTCTATTCCATCATCACAGGGCATTTGCTATGTGGTTATGGCAAGATCATTTATTATTTTGCTTAATTTTTGTCTTAGTTGGTGCAAACATTGCATTTTTAACCAAATTTACAATAAAGCCGCTATCATTCAGCCACCTGCATGCTCACAAATTAAACTGTTGTGTCATCAAGGACAAATATTGATCATGCTTTGGTGCATGATGTGTGTTTAAAAGTGTTTAAATGTATAGCAGCAATTCAATCTTAAATTGAACAATGTGAAATATTTCTCTGTTAGAAAAGTGGTCATAAGACTTGTCCAAATAAAACCTGTGTAATCCAAAACACTGTGTAGCCAGAATTAAAAAAGGACAACCCAATTACTTTGATTGCAATCATCTACACAAAATTGACAATACAAACTTTATAATCAGGCTGTTAATGTCCCTGCTGTAGATTTGAAATTTGATGTATCGCCCAGAAAGGCAGGGGGATTAATATCATTCATTATTTATACTATTAATTACATTATCTATCTATGAAAGATAGATGTAACTTTTCATTTCTCATAAAGAATACCCTCTGTAACTGTGCATGACATGAATTTTGGTTGTCAGTGTGCAGTGAAACGTGACTATTTGCAATATCTGCAATCCCCTTTCCATGAGTAACCAGAGCAGGTCAAAGTAGACCTTCAATTCAAGAATCAGTTTGCACCCCTAAAATTGTGCATTATTTATTCAAAATATTATTTAACACTAAAATCCTGATTGGTACTGAGTATGCAAAGCTGCAAACATGAGCATGTTTGGCTCAATGTAAAGAAATACTGTGAAAAGAAACATTTTGAGGGTGCAGAGCAGAGCACTAACATCAGAGGCTCTGTTTTGTGCTCTTGGTTCTAGTCACAGCGGCGCGTCACGTTTCACCTGCCGGATGGTTCTCAGGAAAGCTGCAGTGACAGCGGTTTGGGGGACCACGAGCCTGTAGGCAGTGGCTCTCTCCTCACACATCCTCTCCCTCTGGTGCAGGCGCAGGATGACTTCTACGAGCAGGCCTCCCCAGATAAGAGGACTGAAGCCGACGGCAACTCAGATCCCAACTCCGGTAAGTGTTAATATATCTCTGTAACATTACTCCTCCATATGTTACATGATTGCTTAAGATCTCTGCTTTTATCTTTGCTGTTCTAAACATTTTTCTTTGGTAAGATGAATAACTCTGAAAAAAAAGTTTTACATAATTACACAATTTTACACATCAACTTTTTTACTTTGATTCAATGTGTAAAGATCTTGCAGGATGCGATACTGCCTCTTTCCTAAACACTGAATTTGAAAAATCTGTTTTAAACTACAGGTTGAAATAATAAGACTGAATTACATTTTCCTTCTTAAAAAGGGATAATACATTTTCATAAAAACAACAGCTGTCTCCATAAAGGACTCAACACACCAAATATCATTTAATTTAGTCTTTTCATTGCACAAGTAGGTTTCTAGTGGATACATGAGCAGGTCATTCATTTCTCAGTTAATCATCCAGACTTGTTCATTCCTCCCAGGAGCAAACCTGGGCCTCCCAAAGGCTCTTCACCTATTTGTGAAACTCATTTGATTTATTTAGAGATGATTTCCCAGTTGGAAATCTTGGTACTCAGCTGAAGATGTTAACTCCCCACTATTTCTGGTGGGAATGTACATCTCCGACCCACTTTTCTCGTTTTATCATTAAGAGGTGAGGCGTGCACAAAGACCAAACCCATCAACCGAAGGTCGATGCCAGCGTGCCTGCTGAGGTTGAAGCAGGCAGCAAAACAACAAATGCCGTGCTTAAATTGGAAGTTTGTATGTTATCATACTGATTCCAACTTAACAGATGCAGTCACAGTTGGCAATAAAATTTGATGAGTAAAGTTCACACTTTAGGTACTGACTCACTGTGTTTGTGAACAGAGTCACATGTGGACATGGGTTGTACAGCGTACCTACAAGTCATTTGCATCAAAGAATAATTTTATATCTTGCTTTAGACACCCAGAAGGATCCAGCCAAGCGTCAGACAAGGTACACAGTGTATTCAGCCCATATTCTTTAAAGGTATAAAAGAGGATTTATCTCAGAAATTACGTGTCCAGATTCATCTAAAATGACTTAATTGATGGCTGGCATTCTTCCACTTATGGTTCCCCAAAAAAATAAAAAAGGTAAAATCCATAAACAAAACATCAGCCAATCTACTTTGCCCACTGTTGAAAGTGGATTGGCTACTTGTTTTTCAATCAAACATTTTGCGTACGTGCCCCGAGTATGTCATTTACTGTATGTAGACTCCAAGAGTAACTCATACGCTGTTTGACTAGCGGTCTGCCATTACCCTGAAGCACGAAGAAGTGCTCCTACCCTTGTTTGCAGCATCAATGGCCAAAAGAAATCCTGAAAAAATTAATCGGAAAAGAAAGCCTTTTTTGATGTAGTTGAAAGAGGAGAGAAATTGGGACAGAATGGAAACCTAAGTGTGGGTTTAGGAGGCGTTTCCAGAGTTAGGAACTTTTGCGAAGGAGGCGGCACTGACGCATGCACACATTTCAGAAATACACAAACAGCCGTTGGACATATCTTCCAACACAAAATCCTCTTTACTGCCCTTAAACATATCTATTATAAAGAACTGTAACAAAAGCGGAATGTTTTAAACTAGTAGATGACTACATCAAGAATTGTGGACGATAAAATACATTCACATATCTATACTGACAGGAGAGTCATAAGTTTGAATATTTTGAGTTGTATCTTTCAGTTGTCTTTAAAATATAATTTCCACCATTTTTTTTTGTTTTATGTTTTTTTTATCTCTAACAGAGATAAATGAGTTAAGGGAGTGGTTCCTGTAATTTTTAGTTTTGTTGTTTTAATGTATAACGCAATAAGAATAGTTTGATCTACTGTGAGCTGTAAAACGTTTCATGAAAAATGAAAGGGGGGAGTTCTGGATGCGTTTGCATAAAAAAAGCCTTAATTGGTTGTATTTGTTTCAGATTAGACATGATCTCTGTCCTAGTAAAATGGATTTTGTTAGTTACTGTTGTTTGCCTATCGGAAAAACCTTAGCTGTGACAGCAATGGTCTTTGATCACTGACCTGTTTCTTGGCACAATAATGATTTCATGTCTTTTCAATGAGGGATGTGTTATCTGCTCTGGCACTAGTGAATATATGAACTCAGATGTCCAAAGTTAACTAGTTTTCAGTTACTGTCTCTCAGACTTAATACGCCACAGACTCATTTTTGTGCTAAGGGTATAATTTAACTTTATCTATTCTCAAAGGAAAATTTTAATATCTAATAGATATTTGACATTTATATGGAAAGATAGGTAATGAGTCTGTTTACACAGTACTGAAAATATTCCAACTTAAATGATTTTTAATGCAGAGGTCAACAATGGGGTCTTGCACCCTTTTAGATTACAATGCTACTGTCTGTTGTCTGAAAGAATAAAGATAGAAATAAAATCTTTACCTTCCTTCAATACAATAAATGGAACTTTGTAAATAACTTAATGGGAAACTAGAGAAAAGTGATCCTCACAAAAGTTGCAGCTTTTTTCTGAATTAACACCACATGGGTGAGAGCTGATAGAGTAAGAATTCATTGTTCTTTATGGCTTAAAACAAAATGATGACCTCTATTTTTGTAAACTAAACAAACATAGGAAACACAAAAAACAGAGCAATAAATATAATAAATCTGTTGATCAGAAGAGTCAATGTAATGACAAAGACAAATATGCTATAATCAAAAATGCATTGATCAAGATGATCATGGTTTTATTTTTGTGTTTTTTTTATTTTAATAGTTATTGAAAGATTCTTTGCAACAGTATAACAACAACTAATAAAAAGATCATTTGTTTTGCAAGAGAATAAATCCGGACTCAGTGTTTATTTTATAAAATGGAAATATAATAGTCAAGCAACTTGCTACAGCATATTCTACATAAACCACATTAGGTATTAAAAACACGCATATGCAAAAAAGCTTAATTAAATTCAGTGAAACCAATGTCCTATGAATCAAACATACATAATAGAAAATCAGTTTGTTCCAGTCTAGCTTTAAGATTTTCAATTTTCCAAAGCAGTGTTGTGCAATTATTCTTATATGAATATTTATTTATAATAATAATTGGAAATTATAAGTAATCATTTATCACTTTAATCATATTTCATCCACAATGAATATATATTTTATAATTTTCTGTGTTTTCTGTGTTAGAAAGCTTCCAGCCTTTAATGAATATAATTTTCATATATTTGAAGTAACAATTATCAACTCAGTTTACCAGCAAATGTGGGGATTCAAACAGTTTGGCCTAAGTTTTATACAGCCACTAGTAAATATTAACAATTTGAATTTAAAATTGCAATTGGTAATCATTAATCAAACCACAATGAATGTATCTATATACTGGATCTGTTAAAATAATTATTAAGCTCTACATTTTAGAGACAGCAAGTCACTTCTGCTAAAATGTATTAAAATATTTACTGAATGTATCTAATAATTGTATTGTTAATAATAGTTAATTAATGCATTTATTAGAAAATGGTTGACCAGACAGCTGCAGTCTGTCGAGAATGCTGCTGCCTGTGTCCTCATTAAAACTAAGAAAGTGAAGCTCATCACCCCAGTTCTAAAGTCAATACTCTCTGTATCTCAGAGGATAGACTTTAAGATACATTATGTCAGTCTATAAATCATTGAAAGGCATTGCACAAAAAAATAACTGATTTATTGTCAGTGTAAATCTACCAAGCAGACCTTTTAGGTCTTCTGGCTTAAATGTGCTCTCTATTCCCAAAACCAGAACCAAACATGCAGAAGCATCTTTTGGTTCTTATGCTTCACTAATTTAGAATAAACTCACAGAGAACTACATAATTACAGTAGTTACATTGTCAGTTCAAATTTTCTTTCATTTTTAAGCAGTCATTTGATCTTACTTTACTTGTTCAATGTATTCTCTTTGATTCTTTGAGTTTCTTTTATGCCACTGCAAAGTACTCATCTTCCTATTCTCATATATAGCACTTAGAATTTAATCTTGCAAGCAAGATGGATCGTCTCAAGATTTGTGATTTCTCAAACTAAAATCTAAAAAAAAAATCAAATAGATTAGCCTCGATACAGAAATTTGTTGGACCAATGAAAAGCAGTGACATGTAAGGGTGTGCAAAATAATCGTCATGACGATGCATCGTGGTTCTAATTTTTGTGATCTACTGCATCGATTCTTGAAGGCAAGAATCAATTATAAAAAAAAAAAAGCCAAATCAAGTGGAATACAACTTCCAGTCCAGCAGATGTCGCTGCGGATGTGTTGACGGCCACTGCCTTGTGTCACAAGCATGTCCAGCCGCGGGATACTGCGACGAGTCATATGAAATAAAACATGGAGGACACTATGAAAATTCGCCCGTTGGCTCCATCACATTTCAAGTCAGATGCTTGGATGCATTCTGGTTTTACAAACAAAGAAGGTAAAAACAGTTTCTCACAGTGTTCAGTGAAAATATTGCAATGCATCGCAATATTTCAAGTATCATGATGCATCATGATAGAATCGCATCGTAGCATGTGAATCGTGATTCTAATCAAATCGTGACTTCTTTGCCAATACCCACCCCTAGTGACATGTGTGACTTCAACACATGAACCAGAGGTGGAATGTTGAAGCAAAACATAGATGTGGCTGCTCCGGTTTTAGCTGGAATACCTGTTTCTGATCCAAACCATCAGCTCATTTACGCATGTGCAACCAGTTATACATCGGGTCGCCCTGGATTTCAAAAAAAGTAGTAAGCATACTAAAATGTAATGCGTTTAATGTTAATAATGTTTTTCCTGAGAAAATAAATGTATTAAAATCATGTATTTATCACTAGTCTCTGCTGGAAATGGGATCCCATACTACTTTTTGAGTTTTATTTTTTCCTTCGATGTTAGTCTTATGGTATATAGTGCATAATCTATAGAGAGAAAACAACTAAAATGCAGATAAAAACTGTTTAATCATTTTTTGCCAGACTGCTCTGAGCATGTCC